AGATTACACTGCAAAAGGTCTTTCCTTAAAATTGTAAATTTTTCGTTACTTTTTTTTTTTTTACTTAACACTTTTTCTTGTTCAGTCCCAAATGTTTGGTTTGTGGATATTAGAACAGAGAAATCCTGAGAAGCACTTGTAAATGTAGGAATTTACCATTCTTAAAGAAATGGCTCCCTGTGGTTTCAGTCAAATACACTGGTGTACATGACTCCATGTGCTAAACTGTTGTCAGGTTGCTGTCTGTTATTGAACAGCTGCTATGTTTCACATGTGAGGTGGCTCCTTTCCAGAGAAAAGTGCAGTGATTCCATACAGTTGTAAAATTCTTTGGGAGATAAGTATATTAATACTATACTACTATCACTGCCTCTCTCCAACAGATAATAAACCACAAATATTTCTGAACAGTAATACCTATAAAATTTAGGGAAGCTGGAAAACTGTACCCAACTCCATGGCCAAATTTTGCAAATCTTCATAATGGGCTGAACCAAATCTCCAGATCCAAACATACATCCAGACTTCTTGTTTAAAATCTAAATCCTAGGTCCAGACTTTTTATTGTTCAGTGTGACTAATCTCTAGCAAGAACATGAGGACCAACTGACTGGTGAATGGCCGTGCCATTGATACCATATCAAATTTTGAGTACCTATTAAAATATGTAAAAGTTTCTGGGGAATATTGAATGCATACATATATACATACACCTGTATATAGCTGGTAGTATTTGCCATCCATAAGTAACCCTAGTTTAAACTCTTCCTGAAAATGGATTGTCTTCCTCTGTTTAACATTGAATGTTGCATTTCTTAAAGGAATTGTCAATAATAAGGATGGCAAACCAGATCCTAGTGTTCTTGCAGTATTCCATGATTATATCAAGCTAATGCCTTTGGTTGCAGAAGCAAATCAGATGAGTGAGGAGTTGAAAAAGGTAAGCAGCAGTATACACTTTTCCTCCCCAGCTACTGTAGTTTTCTTTTAAACTAATATATTAGCCTTTGGAACACTGCAGACAAATAGTGTGAGTTTTTAGCACTTTCACCCCACCAGTGTTCTGTTCTTTCCTCTTTCTCCCATCTTCCTAGCTCTCTGACAGGCAGGGGAGAGTGTGCAGTTGTTTTCTTGTAGCTGTATTAAGTATACTCAGTAAAGCCTTTTCGAATACAGTTTGCATGCAGGATATTAGAGAAAATAAAGTTTTGTGCTGTATAACCTGGATAAGCAATTACTAAGGAGGGGATTAGAAAACTAAGTGCAAGTATTTGGGAAAAGAATTGTTTAGGTTGTGTAAGGAGGTAACGGTTAGAGTAATGACATGAAATTTAGCAAGGAAAAATTTAGACTGGATATAAAGAATTCCATACTGCCTCTGCTGATCCATCACTACTCAGAAGCTTCATCACAGCACACTTGAATAAAGTAAGCAGCCTGAGCCTTGGTTCATTCCTCAAGTTTAGTAAAGTACCATGTTGTCTCTCCACTCTCCAATAGTCCTTCCTTATCTATAGCAATTCACTGTCTGTCTGTAGATATCCTTGCGGTGACCAGCACCAATGGCAGCTTGGCCATGATTTTCACTGAGTGAAATCTCACTGTCGCTGGGGATTAAGTGCCAAAGCAGGCAAGCTTTACATTTAGCATTGGAGTAGTCTATTAGGCTTTTTTTTCCCTTCTTCCATCAAGTGAGGGACCTAGAAGCTCCGGAGCCTCCCTCTGGTTATTAGAGGAGTGAGGGAAAGCTATTTTACTAGGCTTTCCATTTGAATACTAGCATCTGAGAGGGGACAAATGTTTGTACCCAAGATTAAGGGCCTATGACGGTGAGGTTGGAGGGAGAGGGTCATCAAAAGGAAGGAACTTGAGCTAGTTGGATGACTCGTTGGAAGGTCAAAACCCACTCCTTTGTTAGTACCAGATTTCTCTCTAGTGGTGACAATGACTCATGTGCTACACTATAAAAGGAGGATCTAAAATGGCTGCCTGCAGTACACAGCAGAGTGGCAGTAAGTGATGAGGATGAGGAGGTGTCTTCAACATCTGGATAAATTTCTAAAGTTGGAGATGCCGCAGTTCCCCTGGGAAGGGGAACTAAACTTCCAGATGTTGAGAGTTAACCCATTGTTAGAATGTCTCTAACTTCTGTCTCCCGTTAAATGTATTTGAGATATGCTACCCAATAAAACTTCTAATAGTAATCCTTCAATATATTAGCCCTTTGTTGCATCATATTGTGACATAGTCTCATGAAGGTTAGCTAAATCCGCACTTGGATACTAATGTGCTATGTTATATTCTCTTGAGAAACATTCTTTTTTCCTTCGCAGGAGCTCAGGTTGGAATTGAAAGTGAAAAATCTAGCATCATCTGACTCCAGAGGTTATGATCTGCAAAAGGAAGTAATAGTAAAAGTGACTAACAAAATGACTAACCAGGTAAAGAAGCTGAGCCATTAATCATAGTCTTGTGCTGGTAGCAGAGTTCGCTGGAGAGCATCAATAAGATGCAAGCTACACATGACATTTACTGTAATGTAAGCTACAATAAGCTCTGTTCTCCCTCTGTCACAAACAAGGAGCTTTCTCAGCCCCCCTACTGCTTTTTCTCTTATTTGTACACTCACATAACTTCTCCCACCCCTACACAGTGTCCCTGGATCTTCTTCGAGTGATTGCACACATCCATTCCGATTTAGCACCCTGAGAACAGATGTCGGAGATTTTTCCCCTGGTGGTATGCCTAGGCTCGGCACCGGCACCCCCATAGTGCCGGTGTAAGGGGCTCCCGCTTAGCCTGCACTCCTCAGTTCCTCCTTACCGCCCGTGCGGCTGTTGGAACTTCCCCCCCTTTGCCTTGAGCAAAGTGCTTTTAGTGCTGTTCCTTCATTGTCAATAGTTTCATAGGGTAGTAGTTCTAGTAATTTAGTTAGTTATAGGTTAGACCATGACACCTCTCCATACTCTCTCCGTCCCTCCCCTGGTACTGGGGCATGCCTCTGGCGCCGAGGTTTAAACAGGTTGTGTTGCTTTCTACTTGCCTTTAAAAACATCTTGTTTCTCTGCATGTGGAATGATGGGATCACAGAAGTGTTATATTTAAACGCTAGAAAGGTATCCAGAGTGTGTGTATCACTGTAGATACTAAAGGGCTGAATTGGTGCACTTAACTGTAGGTCCTCTTTCTCTTACTGGTGTTCATCCTATGGGCTGCACATAGTCACTAGTAAAGCTAACTGAAGAATCTGGCAAATCTGAGTGCACCAAAGTGAGAACCCCATGACTACAGCCCTACCAATTTCATGGCCATGAAAAACACTTCACGGGACATGAAATAAGATCTTCCCCATGAAATCCCATGTCCCCTGTTCCTAGGAGTGCCCCAGCAAAGGGGGCTCCTAGCTCCGGCTGCACAGTTGTTCAGGACGGGGAGACCAGACCTGTCCCACCTCCAGGATGCTCTCTGGGACTGGGCAGCAACCCAAAGGTTCCTGCAGCTGGAGGAGACTTGTGGAGTTGTGTCCAATCTTCCCTGTGCTGCTGGGAGCGCCCCAGCAAAAGGGGCTCCTAGCTCCGGCTGGGCAGGGGAGGGACAGGACTTGTACATCTCCTGTACAGCTGCTTGGGGGTGGGGGGGGGAGAGACCAGACCCACCTCTGGGTGCCTTGTCCTGCTGCAGGACACTCTCTGGGACTGGGAAGCAGCCCCAGAAGTTCCTGTAGTTGGAGGAGGCTTGTGGAGTTGAATCGGATCTTCCCTGTGCTTCTGGGAGCCCTAGCTGCTAGTCCGGGCAGGGCTGGGGCAGGACAGGACTTGCTCTTTCCCTTCAGGGCTGCTCTTGGGTATCTCTCTTGGCTGCAGATAGCTCCAGACCTCCTCCTCCTCCACTCGCTTCCTGTCCCCTCCCCCCTCTTTGTACCTGCCTGGGGAGGGGACATTGTACAGAGAACTGCCCCCCTTCCTCTTGCAGTTATTCTCCTATTTCAATAAAAATAGAAAGAAAGGTGAGGTACTTGACAGAATTTTTTGTTTGACACTTTACAACAGCAAATCACACTCAGGGCTCACAACTCACTGACTGGTAGATGTGGACATTGGATAGGTTTTGTAGCGTAGTGATCTCAATTGACTGCCTACCAGAAGACACGTGGAATTGCTGTAAAATGAGTGTGCAAAGTAAATCAGAAACCTCAAAAATGATTACTGCAGCGGATCGTGTAAAGAATTTTGGAAGCCAAATTCTACATGTCAGTGGTGACAAACTATTTTGTACAAGCTGCAGTGTTTCATTGGATCACACATGTCGGGCAATGGGTCAGTGCCACTTAGACTCGGAAACCCATCAAAGCAAAAAGAGGGCTGCATGACCCTGCTAGAACAGCTATAACAAAAAGTTTTAAAAAACCAATGATTTCTTCTCTTTTTAAGAAGCCGACAGAGAGCTCTGAGACCGGTTATTTAGCTAGACTGGAACTTGTGGCTGCGTTTGCAAGTGCTAATATAGCACTGGAAAAACTTGATCTCCCAAAGCTGTATGAGTTCATTCAACAGAATGTACAAAATGCCAGTTGCTTACCAAGTGCGAATAAGCTACGATAGAACTACCTTCCAAAGGTTTTTGCTACACATTTTGAGGAGATAAAGTCTCAAATTAACTCATGTGAGTCTTTTGCAATTATTTTGAATGAGTCTACAGATGAGCAAGACAACTATGTACTGCATGTTCTGTTTGATTTTATTTCTGACAAGGCTGAAGATGTACAGATAGGAAAACTAACAGTGCCCACCGACTGCATCTATTTGGATGCTGTTGACACTACAGTTTCTCAAGCGGTAATTAAAACCGTTTCAAAATACAGTGTGAACTTTGACTAAGTATCTGCTTTCATAAGTGACAATGCAACTTACATGACGAAATCTTTAAAATGGGTTCTACAAGGTCTAGTGTCAATTGCTGTCCATATTGCATGTAATTTCTCTTGTCAGTGAGCTGTGGAGATGTGTTTGGTAAAGTTGATAACTGGTCAGCTACATTAAAAGATCTTTTAACGCTGCCCTAGCCGCAGACTTCGATACAGGCAGCACATTGCAAACACGACTGAAATGACTGAAAGTCAGGAACAAAAAATTGCACTTCCCCCAGAGCCAGAATTACTTGTTGGAATTCCCGGTTTTGGCCTGTATAATACCATGCAGCTCACCTGAAGTACTACTCTGAGTTTGTCTCAGAAGAGCTGACACTGAAAACACAGGTTTTAACAGAACTGTCAACCCTTCTAAATGGTGATCAGCTGAATGAGGAAGTTCAGTTTGTTGCTAAAAATGCCACAGGACTCATGGACTTAATCACTTGGTTTGAATCTTGACATGTCAGAACCACCCAGGGTACCACAAAGTAATGGACGTGCTGTTCTGGGCTGGAGCACAGTCAAACAAAAACCACTCTGACAATGCTGAGTTAAATGCCAGTGCTCAGCAGGTGTGTTTTGCATGGCAAAGAAGCTCAGACAATACTACTGCTATGGGGAAGAGTCAAGCGATGTAGCAAAAACGTCTAAAATGTTTCAACAACCTGCAGCAAGGTTCTTAAAAGCAGTGTATATTTTTGACCCTGCACAAATGCACCTGTTGCTGGTGGATTTCAGCTCACTTCATGCAGCTCCTGGCTTTGATAAGAATTGTAGGCTGGAGATGCCTGCTTACAAAAATATTGTGAAAGAAGCAGACTGTAGTTTGCCTGTGCTGCAGTTTTGGAACTCAGTGGAAGGCACAATCCCCCATCTTGCAAGGCTGGCCCGGCGCTGTCTGACAATTCCAACCAACTTCGTGGATGCAAAGAGAGCAGTGTCTAAACACGGACAGGTGTGTTCAGCATAGGGACAGGGACTGAAGAAAAACACAGTTGCTGGATGCTCCAGGCTGACATTCAATTAATGACATTTGAAACCAGAACTCTTTTTTTCACGTGTTTTTGTTAACTTGAGGGACTGGTTCACGCATTTGAGGCTACCAATTGAGATCGCTACCCTACAAAACTCTCTGATGCCCATATCTGCCAATCAGGGAGTTGAGCCTTGGGTGGTGTTTGCTGCTGTAAAGCATCAATCAATAAATCCGGTCACATTCACATGACCTTTCTTTATCTTACTGAAACAAGCTAATAATTGCATCTGGAAATGGGTGGGAGGGAAAGTGCATCCTGTACCTCTCCCCCCTGCCGCTGCGGAGTGATGGGAGCAAGAAGTGAGTTGGGGGGTGGGGTACGGAGCTTTCTGCAGAGGTACCCAAGAGCAGCCGTGCAAAGGAAGAGAGTCTTGTCCCTCCCAAGCCAGCCAGGACTAGCAGCTAGGAGCCCCTGGCTGGGGCATTCCCAGCAGCATGGGGGAGATCAGACCCACGTCCACCTCTGGGAACCTGCTGCGGCTGCAGGAAGCTCTGTGGTTGCTTCCTTCAGAGTCCAGCTCTGAAGGCAGCACAGAAGTGAGGGTGGCAATCCCATGACCTCCCTACAACCGCTTTGTGACCACCCCCCATCCCTCTTTGGCTCAGGACCCCCACGGTTACAACACCATGACATTTCAGATTTAAACAGCTGAAAATGTGAAATTTACCAATTTTCAAATCCTATGGCTGTGAAATTGATCATAATGGACTGTGGATTTGGTAGGGCCCTACCCATGACCAGTCATTGTATCATCTTTCCTATGCACCTCTAGGTGTGGGTGTGGTCTAAGGCCAAGTTCATCAACAGGAAATTCCTAATGGAGGAGATTTACCAGCATTTTTTAGATGGAGAGGATGTGTATGTGGGCCAAGACCATGACCCATTCTGGGATCCTGTTGAGGTCATTCATTTAGGATCTGCTCACATTTGGCTTCAGTCACTTGCTTACTGCATGAAGCTGGAAGAACAAACAGAAGTTCTGAACTCTGAAGGAATGGAGGAAGCTATTCTACTTATAAATATAGCTCCGTGTTCCCGTGATGGAAGGTAAAGGTTTGCCTTTTCCTTATTTGAACTAGCTCCTATCTAAGATCACTTTAAAAAATAAAATCCAATTCAGGAATTTCACAGGGTGATATGTCTGGTAGGAGATGGAGGCTAAACACATGGAGGAAAATATAAAGGCCATGTGAAATTCGAACAGGTTTGCACAGGTAAAACAGGAGCAGATTTGACCCAAAGACATTAGCACATGGGGAAAATATGCCATGTGACAATACTGTTGATGTCCAGGTCCGTCCTGATCTCCCTGGGTGCTACGATGACAGCTGCTCAGCCCTTAGGAAGGTGAAGTCCCTTGAGTTGTTACCAGGGTCCTACCCGAGCTAAGTAAAAGAACCACACTGATGAACTCTAGAGGGAGCTGCTACCAGACTTCTTTGCCAGATGGAGATGGGTTGTGCAAGGAAGGGCCTTACTGGGAGACTTTAAAGTTGAAAATATGTGAAGTTTTGTTCGATCTTCTGGGAAAGAGGAACAAAGCGTATAATGAATAACTACCCATTATCTTCTGTCACACTTTACCAGCTACTGAATAACGATTACAAAGCACCCTAAATACATGAGGTAGTATGCCACTGAGCTCAGCTGTCTTGGAAATGTTTAGGTGGGGAAGCTTTGGAGGCAGTAGTAGTGTGTGGGAGAAGGCACTGGTGATGCTCCAGATAAAACAGGTTTGAGGGAATAAAGAGACAATAAACACAAACGTTTTGCACCAGTGGTTCTCAAGCTGTGGTGTGTGTAGCTCTGCTCTGTAAGAAGCAGAGCTGGTTTTACCACAGAGGTGATGCTTTAGTCAGTTTTCAATCAGTGACACTTCTGGGTAGTTGTAGGTCAAGGACAGTAAGGGTTTCCAAAAAATCATGTGACCAACTAAATTTAGAGCCCCGCCCCATGAACGGCAGCTTTGTCTGATGTTTGAAGTTTATTTGTAAGCAAATTTGCCATCACCATAACTGAAGGTTGTTAAACACACGGAAGGCCAGACCAAACCACAAATTGACCTGGAATGCTTAGAGTAGTGGGAGCAGCAGGTGATGATCCTTTCTAGACTGGGGAAGAAGTAGTGTTTTAAAAAAGAAAAATTGTGTTGGTAATATGTTTTAATTAGCACGATTTTAAAAACCACTTAGCCCCGAGTGTAGACCTTGACCAGCTAACACAGTTGTAAAGACATTAAACCCTGTCTACACTAGATATCAAGTTATGTTTATATTCCAGGGCCAGTAAGGGGAAAAGAGAGTCAGTATTAATGCAGAATCTTACTTCCAGGGCTTGTCTACTTGGGAAGTTAGTGCACAGCAAGTTAAGGTGTGAATTTACAGCCACTAATTACTCTAACTCCCCATGTGGGCTCTCTTAGGGCCTGTCTACACTTACATTTTATAGTGTGAAAAATCACCCCCTGAGCACAGCAAGTCTGAGCACCTTAAAGCGCTAGTGTAGACAGGCTCCGAGCACTGGGAGCCACACTCCCAGCGCTCGGAGCTAATCCTTCGTGGAGGTGGATTAACAAGAGCGCGGGAGAACTCTCTCCCAGGGCTCGCGTGCGACCACACCCGCACTCCAAAGCGCTGCTGCAGGAGCATTCCTGCGGCAGCCTCCCACGGCAGCGCTTTGAAGTTTCCAGTGTAGACATACCCTTACTCTTACAAAGTGCCTTTGTGTGCTTTAGTTTACTACGCTTCAAAGTGTACTAACCTAACTTGTCTGCTTTCATGGTTCAGCCTCGCTTTGTACCACCCGAAAGCTCTATAGCTTGATACGGTTGGGGTTAAACAAATACCTTTTAGTTTAGTTGTAATCCACTGAATTAGGGAACTTGTTTGTAAAGACAGAGTGGAAAAATATTTTTGGAAGGTGTTTGTGTGCTCATTTCTCCTCCCTGCCTCTATACTTTCTGCTTTTTTGGTCTATTCTGTGTCTGTCTTTCAAGGATCTTGTTGCACTTCCCTTCTCCCTCTCCTTTTCTCCTAATCCCTGTCTCTCTCACTCCTTCAGAGGATACCAGGCCTATCTCCTAATCTTGTCTTGGAGTTCCAGAAGCAAAGGAAATGATCTAGATTTGTAATATACAGTCCCTTCCAAATGGTTTCCTTTCCTGTCATAGGTGGTTACCAGAATATTTGTGTGTAAACAGCTGTCCTCTCCTCTGTTCCTCCTCACTGACCTGATTCGTTCACTAATGTCACTGTCATATATTTGCTGTGAAAGCTGAGCCAGATTTGACATGTTATATCCTGATTCCTACATTTTTAGAGCCTTTGGAGAGGATGATATGGTCATTGACCCTTTGGAATTGCTGGGAAGAAGAATTGATTTCCAGATTCACATCTTACAGTGCCTTGGAGTCAAATGGCTTAGAGAAGTCACCGAACGGGGCATTCAGATAGGGTGAGAGGTTTCATTAATTCACTGCTTCCTTCACAGTATGTTCAGTTGGAATCATTGGCGAAAGCAAGAGCAGTTTCATAGTTATCCTAACAGAAGTTTCCAAATTGCATGAGCTACTATCATCTGTTAGATCTCTAAGCTGCAGGATCTACTTAATGTCACAGGCTCAAAATCTCAGCTGTCCTCTTAAAGGACATGTTAATAGGAGCAAGCCCTGCCTTGAAGAGGAATATTTGAACTCATTTGCTCCAAACAAAGGTGAATTTCCTCAGTGAATGGGAGCAAAACACCCCTGTGGAGTGGTGGGAGTTGGGAGGACAGAAAGCTTTAAGCTTCGTAATACAAAATAAAATCTTGTATCATTAAAGCTGTTTAAGCAAATGCATTTTTAGACAGTGACAAAATGTTCAGTGACAAACTGCTACAGTCAACAAAATAAACCCTGAAAATGAATCAAGTGAAGTAATAATTTCACATAACGTGGTTGGTGTGTGCCTGCACAAAGAGTTCTATTCAACAAGAGGGAACAGCTGACCTCAAAATGTTGCCATAATTCTTTTGTTCGCATTTTCTTTGTTCAAATAGCTGACCTTTTCAAATACTGAACTGGCAGTTATTTACATTTTATGTTAATGTTTCGTTCCCCTAGGTACAGAGTTTATGATCTTCCACACTCTCTATACACAAAACCTGTCTGGAAAAACATGAATGCTAAGATTGAAGAGACAGTCCACTTCTCAGCCCTAAATGCATCCCACGAATTTTTAAATTATTTACAAAAAAATGCTTTAATTGTTGACTTGTGGGGGCTTCAAGGTATTTCTTTACAATATTTCTTTTTAATTTGCATAGTTCTTCATGGCTGCGGGTTGTAAATAGCTATAATATGGTTTGATTCTTACTTTTCAAATATAAAACTGCCTGATGGCAAGACAGAGCATGCTCACTTATATTACTGTGACGCTTTAATTCAATATTAGTCCAGTATTTAAATACTGAAAGACTGATGAGAATTTGCTTGCCGTAACCGTCTTAGAATGAATGTGTCAACCTAGCCTAGAAGGATCCAATCATTTACATCATTTGATGCTAAAAGCAGCCTCTGTTAAATAGCTCTGTGACATCTCAAATTTAAGAATCTTATTGCTTTAGAAACATTAATGAAATAAGTTTCACAAGACCCCTGTGAGGTAGATGAGCATCATTACCCTCATTTTACAAGTGAGAGCACTGAAGTACAGAGAGGCTAAGTAACTTGCCCCAGGCCATACACCAAATCATTGTCAGAGGTGAGAAACATATTGTTTAGTCCTAGATTAGACATTAGTCCTTCCTACTCTTCAGGGTGGGAGGAACAGCGTCTGTAGTGTGACTGCATGAATACCACAGCTTGTAAATACCAATATTCACTTTCATGAGAGTTAGTGATTTTTTTCCAGCAAACACTTGCCAGGACGCGGGCGTCAACCCATCAGACTGGTTTGCCGGCTACAAGTAAAAGTAGAAACGTGCTCTGGTACTATTGTTAAGAGCATCCATGTTCTTACATTATTGTTTAGCATTCATATGGACAGAGTGACCGTTTCCTGACTGTGTTAGGGAATATATTATATGCTAGGTTTTTATCTAGGCCTAGTGTTATAATCTAAGACAAAGTTACTGTTCCCTAGCATGGCCAGTAAGTTGTTCAGACCATACTAAAAATAGAAGATGGTTGAACATGGATGCCAATAGTCACAGAAATGAGCAGTGCTTGTATGTAGTGCTTTTTGCAGTGTGATTGGGTCCTAAATCTTGGAGGTTTGAGTGCTTAGATTGCACTGCTATCTCAGGTATAATAAATAGGGTCTGGACATCGTGCAGGTGCTGTGGCATTACTTATTACTAAGGCTGCGATTTAGTCATGGATTCTGTGACTTCCAAAGACCTCCGTGACTTCAGCCAACACTGGCTGGGAGCGGCAGACGGATCCACTGCCACTCCCGGCCACCGCGGGCGACAAGGGGGATCCCTGCTGCTCCCAGCCACCGCAGGGGGCCCTGGGAGCTCCACCTGCAGCTGCCCAGGCTCCTCATTTTGTCATGGATATTTTTAGTAAAAGTCAGGAACAGGTCACAGGCTTCCATGAATTTTTCATGCATGTCCCTTCACAGTCATCTGTGGCTCCAGACTAACTGGCTTTCTATTTTTCAATGGCAGAAAGGATGACAAAAGGGCAGAGAAGAGGATGGGTAACAAGAGAGGGGAATGAAAGTTCATAACTATTTTTTTTTTTTTTTTTTTTTTTTTTTTTTTTTTTTTTT